ACTCCACAACAAAAAGATACAAAATTCAATCAAAAAATGGGCAAAGGACATGAGCAGACACTTCTCCAAAGAGGGCATCTGGGCAACCAAGAAGCCCATGAAAAGACACATGGTCATGAGCCACGAGAGAGATGCCGATCCAAACTACAATGAGACACCAGCTTAGTCCTGCAAAAACGGCACTGACCACAACAAAGCAGGAAACAAACGCTGGTGAGGCTGTGGGGAGACTGAAACTCTTCTCCACTGCTGTTGAGACTATAAAATGGTACAGCCACTGCCAGAAACAGTATGGCACCTCCTCAGAAAGCCAGAAATAGAAGTAGCTTATGACCCAGCAATCCCATTGCTGGGAATACATGAAGATGACAACCACCTGAGTGCCTGGCAACGAATGAATGGATAAACCAATCATGGCACACTCGCACAGTGGAACACTATGCAGCTGCAAAGAGCAACGGTGAATCCTTGAGACATGAATCGAGAACTATGAAGGACACTTTGGCAAGTGAACTAAGTCAATCACAAAAGAATAAATAATGTGTGGTCTTATGTCTATAAAAAGACAAGAACAGTTAGACTTATGGGAGGGGGATCACTTTGTAGATAGTAGACACCAAACTCACTGCCACCAGTTGGATCTGACTCATAACGACGCCTCCTTGGGTCTCTGAGGCAGTATCTCTATGGAAGTAGATTGTTCAGTCTTCCTTCTGAGGAGTGACTGTGGGTTTGAAACACCAGCCTTCTGGTTAGCAGCCAAATGCCTTTGGCACTACGCCCCCCAAGCTCCTTTTTGGTGATGGGAAAGGTAATAGCCAGTACGGGTGAAGTATGGACAACGAGACCAGAGCACACGAAGACACTAAGAAGTGCACGAGAACATGAGCCAATTCCGGTAAATGCTGGAACATCCACAATTTTGCAACAACAGTGGTAACGGTCAAAAAGTATGTGTGTTTACACAGGTAAGTGTGCATGCGTACACGTGTGCAGGAAGGCATATGTAAGTGTATGGGTGTGCACACGTCGGTGCATCTGCCAGCATATGCATACACACATTTATGTGTGCATGCATATATATCCACATACACAATGAAGCACACAGAGGGGGGCACACTCAGATACTTCCTAGACACAACCAAACGCCTTCTGGGACACCGAACACCCTAATGGATTTGAAGGCATAGGACAGTCTGTTGGGACAACTTCGGCTAACTGGCACCCATAGTTCATAAAGCTAACACACTCCAGACCAGTTGGGAGTAGTGCCTGGGGTCTGAAAGCCTGTGAGTGGCCATCTAAGACACAACCATTGGTCTGTACTCGCCTGAAGTAAA